TATGAAGGTATAATATGCCATCTGTAATCCGCCAAAGATTAGAGGCTGCCGTTTTTGGGGACATCCGTTAAAATTGGAACGGTATAGAGAGAAGATTAGCATGGCCCCTGCACAAGGATGGCATGTGTAAATCGAGAAATGGTCCAATTTTTTTGGCGGCAAAAAAAAAAAGGGATACAGGTTCCCACGACTACTTGCGGGATGATGCATCCGAAAGTGACAGGAAGCGCCCTGGGTGGTTCGGGGGGTGCTTTTTTCTCCTGTCCTTTTTTTTGGGAGAGAACTACGAAATGTCCTATTCTTTACTATGGGCCTCACTGCACGGCACACGAAATGAAAATAAAGCGAGTGCATCTGCCCATGGAAAGTGGCAAAGTACATTCGTTACTAGTTATAAGAAACGGATGAATCGTTTCCATTTTCTGTGGGAAGATGCACTAGTTTCGTTTTTCGTTTCGTTCGTGTGCTGTGCCAAAAGGCCTTATATTTCGGAAGGAATAAAAAGCACGATGTAAGCCGAGCTGCCTTTGGGTGGTAAGGGGTCCATGTCCATGCGTGACGTCTTCTCCTCCCGATCCTGGAGCATACGAAGTCTAGCAAACCTCGTGTGCCAGCAAGTGTGCAAGTCCCAAGTGTCCCCAAAGAGCCGAGCTGGGTTTTTAAAGTTTGCTGGGCCCTCCGTTGGAGAGCTCCAGCACTCTGGTACCACCAACAAGGTCGGGCGTGCTGTCGGGAGACTTGCAAAGCCCTGGTACCGAGGCAGCGGCCGGGCCTAGTCCGGAGCCTGGTTCAGTCCCGAAAGGTCACAAGAGGGACCAAGCAGGCCAAGCTGTCGGGAAATGCAGCGGCTTGGTACCACACCTCTTTTTCCCGAGCCTAATTTGAAGTTCCGGGCCTAATTCGAAGTTCCGGACCTAGAGGCTCAATCTCATCGATGCGGTCGTGAAAATTAGGCCGCACGGTCGCTCGCCGGTTTTCCTTTCAGTCACCCTTCAAATTCCAGTTCCTCGATCAATCCACATATCCTCTGTTTTCCCTCGGCACTTACTTCCGAGCCGCAGGCCCGCGCCACTTGGCTGTTCCCACCTCGAACAAGGTTTCCGTCTTTACGAGTCCCTCTGCATTTTCCCCCCGCTTCAACCGTCAGTTCCTCCCTGGACGCTGTCGTCCCTTTCGTATTTGCCAAACACGTGGCGCAAGGCACAAAGAGTCCCTTTTCCCGAGGCTTAGCCTGGCGGTAGAGTGTATTTCCTTCTTCCTCATCTCGTTTTTCGTCTGCTGTTGCCAATCGTCTCTTTTTCGTGAAGATCTTTGATCCTAGTCCCCGCAGAGCATCGAGAGTTTTCATTGATCCTTAATGGCATCGGCCATAGTCCCAACTGATCCCACCATTTTGCGTTCCTTGATCCGGCACTTAACAACGTCGCCTCGTCGGCTCGTTCACAAGTAAAAAAAATATGGCCGAATTTGCTTGTTGAACCAAGTCCGGTCCTTGTCGCTAAATTTTCTGAAGGAATTAAAGGGCGGCGTAAGGTTTAAGCTGCTCGACAACGGTCCATTTTTCACTATATTTCTGGGGAGCATTGTGGCTGTATGTGGTGGGAAACCATGGCAAAGGGCGTCGCCGGACGGCGCGCTTGAAATGGAAAACGAAACGAGTGCTTTTTCCCACAGAAAATGGACAGGTTCATCGGTTCGCTATAAATAGTAATGAGTGTATTTTGCCACCTTTCATGTGCAGATGTACTATTTTTGTTTTCGTTTGGTGTGCCGTGTGGCGAGGCCCAAAGGCAGTACGTGCACTTGTTTGCTCTGGCTTCAGATGACTTGTGTGCGATTGTGTTAGTTCGTTTGGGTCCCAAGTGCGTCCATCTGTGTCAGTTTGTCTATAACTGTATTCGTGTCCACTTGTTTGCAGTTCGCATTCGTCTGCATCGGTCTGTGTTCTTTTACTTCCATTTGTCGGTTCGTGTTCTTTTGTATCTGTTTTTGACCGTTTGTGTCAGCTTGGTGACAGACATGGCTCCCCGTCTTCTGTGATGATGTCAAAGAGTGAACTGTGGGCAGGCATGCAGGGGGTTTTGCATTTCTCCATGTGGGGTATTGCATATTGACTTCTACGTTTGGCGCTCCCTCCTTGTCAAGGAAATCTTGCATCGCCTAAACACCCCAGCGCCGTTCTCCATTACGTGTATAGCTTTTTCTTTGCTTTGTGCCTCCCGGGGCAGGATCCACTTCATTCGTCTGGCCACCTTCCCTCCCACGCACGCTTCATCTCCTCTTGTACTCCTGTGCCTAGTACCTATGATGGTGACTACCTCATTGCCGTTCTCCATCATGTCTATAGCTTTTTCTTTGCTCTGTGCCTCCAGGGCAGGATCCAGGTCATGCGTGTGGCCACCTTCCCTCCCACAGAAAACTTCATCTCACTCTGTACTCCTGTGCCTAGTACCTAGGATGGTGACTACCTCCTCGTCGAAGAAATCTTGCGTTGCCAAAATGCCCCGGCACAGTTTCCCATTACGTCTATAGCTTTTTCTTTGCTCTGTGCCTCCCAGGGTAGGATCCACGTCATTCGTGTGGCCACCTCCCCTCCCACACATAACTTGATCTCCCTTTGTATTCTTGTGCCTAGGATGTAGGACAGTGACTATGGAAGCATTGGGAACGAGTATATTATACTTGTGGCGCACGTCGTGCATGCAGGGTGCGCACAGAGTGTGACGCGCCCCAAACATAGGCGTTAATGCAAAAGAGAGGGAGGGGCGGGGTGTGATGGCACGCCCTGTCGCCCCCCCCCCCCCCYCCCCYCCAAAAATCTGTCCTTTGGCAAGGGGAAAAATAATTGTTGTGCGAGGATGACGGGGACACCGAGAAATACTCCAAATTTTTGGGTTGGAGAAAAAGGCAGAACTGTGCAGTGCCAAATGCTCCCCCTTCTTGCCCCTCTCTGCTCTGCGCAGTCTTTGGCAGAGGCCACAGCTCTATTACTCTCGAGCACCCTGAAGTCCCGAAGCAGTAATTCTCTTACACCAGGCTTTCAGACTCTTGCTGGATTCCAGCCCGCGTCCATGTTCTTATGCTGACACGATGGGAGCTGCGATGCCAGGGAAAATAAGGCACTTCGGTGCCTGAAAGATGCATGTCGAGCCCTTGTTTAGTGCGGAGACGTTACATCTAGCAGGTTTTCCAGGAAGGTGTGTGTGGTGCTCTGTATGGATTTCTTGTACGATATCTGTGTTGTGCACTGGGGCTGCAGCCGGAGGGGCTATTCTGACCAGATGCAAAAACGGAAGTTTGAGGCGTCTGGCACCAGCCCGCTTTATATCAAACAATATCTCCATCCCTGGTTGGCTGTGACTGCCTCAATGCATGCCAAAATTCTTAGCCGTCTGTGGTGTTATGTCGTTGGATCTTCATCTAAAAAATCAAGTTCGGAGTTTGGCCGACACTGTTGTGGTCAGTTGAGATGTTTTGCAACAGGCCCGCTTTATATATGTGCATCGTATGGGTACACTGGCCATCCAAAACAGGTACTGGCAAAAGATGTCCCGACTGTCGAAGAGTGCCAAGTTGCTATCTGAACCCCCTCCTGGACTTTTCAAGAGCATGAAGAATCTGACTTTAAGCTTTGAAATGGTCAATGTGCGAGTGCGACTTTCCTTCAAACCACCAGTACCTACCACATTTTTCGTACCCCCCGGTTTGAATGAATATGGATCCGGCTGGCAGATTGATTCGGCTAGTGCGATAAAAGTTCAAAGTTGCATGGATTCTGTTGGAACAGCTGGCTGCACTCGGCATAGTGCAAAGTTGCAAACTCAACTACCCCCCAGACCCTGACAGATTACACAGTCCTACTGAGACCGACACAGAATGTGCCTTTCTCTCACTCACTTGCTCAGTCAAGGTTCTAGTCACTCAGTCACTCAGTCGCTCCCTCCCTCCCTCCCTCCCTCCTCCTCCAGGCCATCCACTCAGTCAATTTGGCCACTCACTTTTCCAATCAGTCGGTCAGTCAATCGCTCACTACGAGAACTTGCTCATTCTCTTGCAAACTCTGCCAGTCACTGACAGAGTCTCGTTGGTAGGGTGGCGGATGGAAGGGTGGAGAGGTGGCGCAAGGCTGGGTGAGAGGGGGTGGGATGACATGGGGAGCAGGTTGGGGAAGGTGAAGGGAGAGATGGTGGGATGGTGGCGGGAAGGGGGCAGATTCGGTGGGGGAAAGCGGGTGAATAGTGGGGGCAGGTTGGCGGGAT